TTTACAGTCCCACCAGCAGTGTATGAGAGTCCCAATCTCTCCACAACCTCGCCAGCATTTGTTATTTTCTGTCTTGTTGAACTTTGCTACTAGTAAAGCACTCATTCTTGAAGCCATTCCTTTCTTTGCCCAGAACTATTCTTACCTTTAGGAGTTATTTTTAAATCCAATCCAACATGATCCTTTATTTTCCTTAACACAAATTATGAAAGCTAATTTTTAATCTAGAGATAAAGTAACTGATCCTTCTTTCCTTCCTATTTAGTGTTCTAGATTATGGGCCAGGGGAGCTGTATGCATAATGATTTGCACAGAACTGTTCTAGATCATCTTGGCCTTTCTCTGGCTATTGTTGAATTGCTTTTCTAATAATCGCTACAATTTGGTTTAAGTATAACTCCAAAGGACCACAGTTCCAGATTCCAATTTATCTGTTCTCACTCACTGCCACTGAGTTGATTCTGACTCACAGCGACCCTCATTGGGTTTCCAAAGCTGTAAATCTTTATGCAAGCAGACTGCTTCATCTTTCTTCTGCAGAACAGCAAGTGAATTCAAGCCACTGACTGTTTGGTTAGCACACAAATGTCTTAACCACTACACCACTAGAACTCCTAATTGGTATGTTAGAGCATGGTTTAATTTGTATCGAACCTTTTAATATGATTATTATTTAGATTATTCATTGTTTCACTACACTGCCAAAGAACATCAGTATTTCAGGTGTAATAAGAAATGGCAGGAGCTGTTGCCATACTATAGCAAAAACTGTGACAAAATGATAGTTTAGCTTGTTGTGAGTACAAATGTTGGGCAACGTAGGAGGAAAAGGGAGCTGCAAATGGCAAGAGAATCATCAACTGTAGACATGGCTACTAACCAGAGGCATCATGAAGACTCAGCATGACAAGGACAGCAAAGCACTGTTAAGCTCTACATTTGAACTCACATATATTTAAACAAACACCATTTTGTAACAAGAAGGACAATCATGAACTCTTTTGAACTCTTTAGAGAAAAAGATTTTAACAAACCTATATAAAAGGTAAGAACCAAAAACAAACCAAACTCACTGCTGTCGAGTCGATTTTGACTCATAGCAACCGCTCCTTGGGTTTCCGAGGTGGTATCACTAAGGAAATAGATTGACCAACCTTTCTTCTGAGGAGTGGCTGGTGGGTTTGAACCGCCAGCCTTTTGGTTAGTAGTCAAATGCCTTAGGTCACACCACCAGAGCTCCCTAAAGGTAAGATGTTTTGTATATTATATAAATAGATTTCCTATTCATTGTTTTATTCCATGTTCATTCTGTCATCTTTTGAATCTATAATGTGCAAGTTAACTTTTCTTCTTTGTCATTTTAGATCTTTACCAAATATGTAATTTAAAACACAGAGGCAATTTTCCATATGTGCTACTAGTTATTGTTTTTTTCCTTATGAGTCTCTGGGTTCTGGAAAGTCCTGGTGATGCAGTGGTTAAGCAATCAGCTTTCAAAAATCCTATGGCGTACTTTTACTCTGTCCTATAGGGTAATTATGAGTTAGAAAAGACTTGATGGCAATAGGTTTGGGTTGATTCTTAAAATACAAAATAACAATAGTACAATTCTTGCTTCTTGTCGTCTACATGGGAGAACTGGGTTTGATTGCTGGCCAGTGCATCTCACACACAGCCACCCCTATCAGTGGAGGTGTGCTGAACAGGTTTCAGTAGAGCTTCCAGACTAACGGCCTGGGAAGAAAGGCCTGGTGATCTACTTCCAAAAATCAGCCAATGAAAACCCTATGAATCGCAATGATGTGATTCCCAATTGATTAAGAAGCTGGTGCAGGACCAGGCAGCACTTCATTCCATTGTGCAGAGGGTGGCCATGAGTTAGGGGTGACGTGACGGCCATGAGCAAGATCAACAGCGTGTGATATACTTCCATGTATATCCTGTATTTTGATCTTCCAAGAAAGTTATGCTTTTAGAAAGCATTCCTTTTATATTATGTAAGAGAAGATTCATTAAAATTCACTAATCTTACCATCTAATATGGAAGAATATATCACAAAAAAAACCCAAAATATTACGTTCAGATAATTTACCTTCTGTCTGGAAGACTCATAATTACTTTCTCTCCTTGTATGCCTTTCTGGTACAGTAAGCATTTTCCTAAATGCCTAAAAAGTTATGGTCATAACCTGGCAAAGATCTCCAAACCCAGTTTTACTTTACTGCATATGAGTTCATGTTGCTCAGAAGTCCATGAGCAGAAGAATGTAAGAGACCATTTTGAACCACTAAAAAGACAAAATATCTACCCAACATATCAAGGTCTTCCCTGTGCTAGTTGCCAAAGAAATTTAGGCTTTTTAATGGTGAGGCTGTTTCAGAACTTCATAGAGTAAGAAACAAAAGTATAAAACCAGTCACTATAATAAGCTTGTCTGTCCAAACATCAGTATTTTAACTCACTGAGATACTGATAACTGTAGAGGGGCATGCAACAAGGAGAAATGAGAATTCTCTTGTCAATGCTATGTAACACTGAAACTTTCATGATGCCTTTACTTAGAGAAAGAGGGAAACTAGCTTAACATTTAGAAAATCAAAGATGCTAGGTGGTCTGCAAAGCAGCAATTATAATGTTAAATGGATGCTGACAGTCAAGACAGCAAGCAGCGCTAAGGTCATTTTACACACTTTCTAGGCACAGTGGTTTTGTCTTTTTAACAAGCTCTGAACAAGAACCTGAGTTTTTGAAAAATGTGTCATTTATTCAAGTTATAGTCATAAAAAAGTCTTGTGCAAAGAACTGGACCCTACCAAAAACATTTTGAAAAAGAAAATGAAGGTCATGCTGGCTTGTGTTTTACCTTAGAGAAGTATCCAACCAGATGACAGCCCTTTTCATCATTTTTTGTAAGGACATAAAAAAGGAATGGCTCGACATCATAATACAACGTTTTGTGGTCCAGGAAGAGCTTGGCTAACAAGCAAAGGTTCTGGCAATAAATTTTGCTCATATTCCCATCAACCTAGCAAAAGAAACAAATAACATTATTCAACACAAAAATGCTACTCAATATAAAATTGTTTCTTCTATATGATATTTTGGAAAATATATACTTTTTTTCCCAATCCTGAACTGAGAGATTAAAACACTCCATTAACCAAGTATAGAGTTAACCAGAAAATAGCTGTCATTTGGCAAATCAAAATTCCACCTTTTCTACTTTTTCTTTAAGCTACCTGAAGAAAGGTCAAATCACTAGCTACGGAGTAATTTTTACTTGCCATTTATTGTGAGTTAAAAATGATTAGGTATGTCCTTTCTCTTTATTTGAACCAAATAAATCTGAATGAAAGGAAATGTAAGCTGTCAAAATACCTCCCAAGTAAGTTAATCTTCATGCTGTTTTCAAAAGGGATTCACACAAAAATAAAATAAATGAACTGTATTATTCTGATTACCCAGAAGTGTGGATTAGAAAAAGAGGCTTCCATTTTTGATTTTATCCTAAGCATCATTTTAAATATAATTGGAAAAGATAAAATATCTATGTTGGGAATACTTACAGAGAAAGTGAGATGAATTTCAACCTACAATAAGTACCATGATTATAGTCTACTTCTGTTCAAAATAAAAGAATCAAGCTGTGATACTGATGGTTATAGACAGGAGGCTAGGCACAGATGCCAATTTCTTTGATCAAATGTAATTACTTGTTGAAAACAAAAAGCACAGCAGATTTAAGAAGAATTTCCCTAGCACTTTTCTTAGGGGAAATAGATATTTGCTAACCAGAGCTCTTTAACAATGAACTTGACCATTCTCACGTCTCCTGTGGATCATATGGGTTCTCATATTGCACAAATTATTTTTAGACTTCATATAACTATTTCCCTTGGATGAAACCTAGGTCCCACACATAGCAACATAATCAAATATGGGTAACGGGCACAGAGGACACAATTCTCTCTTTAATTAAAGGAAGTTTTTATGTATTTGGGACTATAGTCCTTTTGGAAATGGTAGCACATTACAAAAAGGAAGGATAAAGATGTATGTTTCTGAATCAGAAAAATAATCAGAGATGACATTATGCTAAAGAAAAATTCTTATCAGTCATGGAAGTTCTAATATGGCAAGCTTTCAAGGGGTACAGATAAAGAGAAGGTAGGAAAGTATTAATATGTGATTATTCACTTCTTTTATAATTTAGGAAATTGCTTAGAGCAAAGTTTCTACATAGTGTACTCTAAGCATTAATTTAGATTCTAGAATAAGGACGTTGGAACTTACCAAATCCAACCCCTTCAATTATTTTTATGAATAAATTTCACAAATCTGCTTCTGATCATCTGCCCCCCCCCCCAAAAAAAATCTCTGTATGATCCAAAAGCACCTGTCCTGGAATAGTAGATCATTTATAATGCTGGGAAAGAAGTTCCTCCAGGACTTGAGAGCTTCAACCCCCCTCATACTAATTTATTTAACAATTACTTAAGGGTAACAATGTGTTTTGCCCTTTGGGAAACAATAAAACAGCAATTTCCATTTTATTTTGGTTAGAAGAAAGGATCTAGGACATCAAGGAAGGAGCCAATAGGAAAGTCGAACTCGTGACACTAGGTAAGCCTCAACCGATGGCAGCCCTGATGGTCTCAACTGGTTGGGGCTGGCTGGGTAGCATCCTAAGACTCACAACAGAAGGGCAGGCAACTTGTATTCTGCTTTCCCTCTAGTCCAGTGGTTCTAAGTCTGGCATGACTGCTCCCTCCATCCACCCACTCCCCTGACCAGGGACACCTGGCAATGTTTGGAGTGCAGTTCTACTCTGAAACATGTAGGGTTGCCATGAGTTGGAATTGACTCCATAGTCAACTGGTTTGGTTTACAGACATTTTTGATTTCACAACTGGAAGGAGGTGCTACTACTCACATCTAGTGGGTAAAGGCCAGGGATGCTGTTAAACATTCTACAATACACAGGAGGACAGCCCTCCACAACCAAGAATTATCCAGCTTGAAATGCCAACAGTATCTAGATTGAGAAACCCTGTACCTAGCATTAATAAGAAGATACCAAATCTTCCCAATATGGCTTCTTCCTCCAAACTTGCCAGAAAGGCCTGATACAATCAGGAAGAGGAGCTTTAAAATGCTTTACGATGTAGCTGAAGTCTCCTGTGTTCTCCATTTCTTGTAAATCTTGGAAAAAACTAGTGGGCCCAAGACTGACTGAGTGATAGAGCCCAGTCCATGTGAGAAACCTGTATTTAGTATATGTTATATACTAAATATAACACAAGACACTACAGGGCAGAAATTAAGAGGATTTGTGGGTATAATAATAAAGGTCAGTCTGAACAATTTAGAAAAAGAGAATCCTTAAGTAAAACTGTATTTCATAGAAAGTAGATATCGTATCTACAGTGCAAAAATATGCTTGCTTTGAGCATCTAGGAATGAAAAACAATGAATCACAATGGGTAACAGAGAAGAAAACAAGGCAGGACAGTAAGAAGTGCTTGACTGGAGTAAAGAGAATAAAAGAGAAAATGAAGATGTTTCAAGAATAGTAAACAACATGAAAGAAAAGAATGGTCTCCTCAAGGTACAACTGACTCAGCTAAACTGGATTCTTGAAACTGACAACAGAAACATGATTTAACAATGTAACTATATAGAGGCAAAGACCTAGTGCTACTAAATCAATTCTGAAAACACAAAATGTCTTCAAGAAACCCATGATGACAGACACATGGCCACAAGGGGTTTCTGTGAACAGCAGAGTTCTCCAGGGGTGGCCTCCACCCAGATGGGGAAAGTTCCAACATCTGCTGGGGTCTCACCAAAAGAATTATCCATCCTGCCAAGAAATGGATAGAAACACAGGTGGTTGTGTATTGAGGAGATATGTACAGCTGCTCAATTCCCTAGAAGAATGAGCACCTGCCAGACATTGGCTGTAGCCACTGAACAAAGCTAATTTCTCCTGCCAAAGAAAGCAGAATTTACAAAGAGCTGAGGAGATCATAAATTCACTGGTGAATATATTTGGTGCAGACAGGGATTTGAGGGGAGACAAAAAAGTTAATGTGATGAAGCAGCTTCCTCATCAGTCTAAATGGTTGCTTAATGTGGTTAGACAAACATTCCAAAATATGGAGGTATTTGAAAAAGAAGTCTGAATTTCAATGCCAAAATTAAATATACCTTGAACCTTCTAGAAAGAAATCAGTACACAGTCAATAATTAGGAATACCAGGTTTCCAAAAGCTGAGTTTTATTTATACATGCTTACCTCAAATACTGAAAGGTCTTTTCTTCGGTAAATTTCATTTGCTGGAGGATGAAACCATCCACACTTCTTTGAGTGTCTTAGCAAAATGTTTTTACTTTTCATATATTTAAGACAGAATTCACACAGGTAAAGCTTTGGTAATCTGTTAAAGTTTAAAAATCAAAGAATCTATCAGATTGATTATATTTTTAAGGGAAAAAATGTTAAATATATTTTTTAAATGATAAGCAGCCTATATATTACTGTATCAGAAACAATCAGAGAATATAAAAACCTTACATTATTTTTTAATATAATCAATAGTATATCCTGTCTTTACTTTGTGAATAAATCATTTGTTCCCTTATAAATGACATATGAAAACAAAGGTTTAAAACTTGGAACCACCAACCTAAAAATCAATGATTAAGCATGGCAATGTATCAAGGTGACCAAACATATGTCTCAAATTTCAGAGTTAATGTCAGTATATTCAACTACATACATCACCAATGTTGTGACTGCAATAATTTTTTAATCCAGAGAGAAGTTAATTTATTATTATTTTTTTAATGATCCGCATACTTAGAAGGCAAAGAAGCCCTAGAATTCAGTTGTTTTCATTTCTACCTCTGGATGAGACAACTTTAAAGTTATCATCATAGTATACTATGTTGCTGTTGTTGTTATGTGCCATCCTGTCGGACCCAACTCATAGCGACCCCTCCTTGGATTTCCAAGGCAGTTATCACTACGGGTATAGATTGCCCCATCTTCCTTCCGAGGAGTGGCTGGTGGGTTTGAACCACCAGCCTTCTGGTTAGCAGTCAAGTGCCTTAGGCACTCTGCTAACAGAGCTCCTATAGTATACTATAGTCTAACATAACAAATGCAGGACCAAAAGGTAAAGACCTAATTTATTTTCTATCAATTTCACTGACTCTGAGTGACAACAGATAAACAGCTTTCTCTCGCCCCGTTCTGATTTTTCCTCCCGCTTAAACATGAGAACATTTTTACAAATCTCTATCTATGCTTAAACAGGCACTGCTTGCTGGTATTTAAAAGAAAATGTTTAGAAGCACTTTAAAGGTCTTTGGGGTATAAGAATGAGAGACAGATTTGGGAAAAGATAGGCACAGATGATAGTAATGTCAAATATTTTCACTTACATGTAAATTTTATTCAAAGCTCTCAAAGCATATAATTTGATTGCCCATACAAATTAAACCAAACCAAACTCACTTCTGTCAAGTCGGATCCGACTCATAGCGACTGCTCCTCAGGTTTCTGAGGCAATATCACTACAGAAGTAGATTGCCCAACCTTCCTTCTGAGGAGTGGCTGGTGGGTTTGAACTGCCAACTTTATGGTTAGCAGTCACGTGCCTTAGACGCTACACTACCAGAGCAAATTAAAGCTCATAGGCATTTTGAAAAAAATTGTTCAGGAACACACAGCCAAATGGCATAAGCTGGGAAGAGAAACCAAGACTCTTGACCTTTAGTTTGCCATTCAACTTCTAGAACAATGTCCCCCGCCATTTTACCTAGTCAGATGATTGGCCAGAAACGCATTTAATAAAGAAAATGACATTTATTTTAGAAGAAAAGTGACTTTGTGATTATCAGAAACTTTGCAGGCTAAAACATTTGAGAAGATGATAATAAAGTGGGCCTAATATAACTGAAAGAAGAAATCTATTCATAACATACCTGTTTTTGGAGTCTTTATACAGTTTTGGAGAGCATGTTGTTATTGTTGTTGTTATGTGCCCTCGAGTCAGATCTGACTCATAGCGACCCCTCTTGGGTTTCCGAGGCAGTATCACTATGGAAGTAGATTGCCCAACCTGCCTTCCAAGGAGTGGCTGGTGGGTTTGAACTGCCAGCCTTCTGGTTAGCAGTCAAGTGCCTTAGGCACTATGCAACCAGAGCTCCTTTTGGAGAGTATAGTTACTCTTAGTTCAAGACAAATAAAAACTCTGATGCCAATTTCTCTTCATTTTTAACTAGTTAGTCACAAGTGGCTCTTTAAGTAAAGATTTGGGAAAAGGTCTCTTAAGGTTAAGCTCCTTCCTTCTATTTCACATTGGTTAAAAAAAAATGCCTTGGAATCAAAATGCCACAAATCAGAGATAAATCTGATAGGCTGAATTAGGAAAATGAAAAAGCAACTAGAGAAGAAAGTCTATCAGAAATTTCATAATGGCTAAAACCATTTAAATAAATAATAATTTAGTTTCCTAGAAACCAACATTTGTCCAATTAACCAAAGAGAGAAGCATGGTCCAGAAGCTAAAAGGCAAATTTACAATGCCTGTGTAACTAGGAAGTATTTACATAGCACAGGGAATATGTAAAAAGGTGCTGGCCAAAGAAACAGTTTTGGAAACTCTCAGAATCAACTATCAACATTTATTTCCTAAAATCATCTAATTTGTACTGCAGAATCAAGATTTCTCCTTTCTCACATACATTGCATTAAAGGTATATACATGTCAGGCTTATTCCAGTACCTTGCATATTCCTGTGGGTAAGGCGAGGAGTACCAGGTTTGGATTTCATATTTTCCAAATTCTATTATAGAAGGGTACCGGCCACAGTCCTCCACTCCACTTTCACACTCTATTTTCTATTAGAGAAAAAATAAAATAAAATATAAAGCTTAGAAGAGGATATATTCCACTTAACTCTTTGGTTCTCCTACCAGTAATCACAAAAACTTATCAAGACCAGAACATTAATCTTCATTTGTGAATTTTCATGCTACTAAAAAATAGTATATAGTCCCTATGAAATAATAATCAACTTTGTAAAAGACATATATAAACAAATACATGAAAATATAGTATTACAAAGATAGGAAATGAGTACAATATTTGTGTATACAAATGTGTACTGAAATGAATTTAACAATCTACTGCAATGTATTACAGTTGAGGATGGGATTCAAAAATAATGTGGTTGCTGTATACTCTTAAGGAGCTCTAGTAGTGTAGTGGATAAGGCATGTGGCTGCCAAGCAGAAGGTCAGCGATTTAAACCCACCAGACACTCTGTGGAAGAAAGATGGGACCATCTACTTCCTTAAAGGTTTATAGCTTGGAAACTTAATGGGGGTCATATGAGTTGGAATCAGCTGAATGGCAGAGAGTTTGGTTTTTGGTATTTTCATATACTCTTAGAGTACCCTGTCCCTCTACCAAGTAGTATTTATCTCAACTGGACTTAAGTAATCAATTGTGAAATCTGTGGTTTCACATCTGCTTCTTTGTTAGACTGCAGTAAGCTACCTGAGACTAATAGCTTTGTCTATGTGGTACCTGTGATATCCTCAATACCTAGGACAGTGCCTAACACATAACAAGAAATAGTTCTCAAATCTAAAAGCCAGTTGTCCATGTTGGAAAGACAGGGCTTTAAATCCTGGAGAATCCTTCAGATAATAGTCTGTTGTTTATTATAGCTATAAATGAATGTCAGAAACAGGCTAAAAAACAAAAGAAGTATTTAAGGACTTGGAATCTTAATGATTTGGGGAAAGTTTTGACACTTATCTTAGCCAAAGGAAAAACAATACAAAGCATCCTGACAGAGGCAGCATGAAGAATGAAAATATCCAACAGTCTCTAGGTAGAAAACATCAGAAGTTATTAGCCCAAGAAATTGCTACTAAAATTAAAGCTTAAGAGGTTAGAGACAATCCTCTCCCCCTAAAATGAAATGGGGTGAGGTAGGGAGTCCAACTAAACATAGTGCCATAGAAATCAAATGCAGTCTACTGACATAAAAATTCACAATTCGTAACAAATTTGTATTTGAAAAGTCCAATAAGCCTTACCTTTCAACATTTTGGTGACAGTAACCTATGCAAAGTTAGTATTTTAAGTGGAATGGTTTAAAGAAATTACTGGACAATGAAAATAAAAGTTGACTACAACTGATCATTAGACACAGCATTGCTTTCATCAGTGGTAAAGCAATAAAAATATGAGACATTTTTCATAGAGTCAGCCATTTGTGTTTCAAGAAACATCAATAAATTTAAAAGTAATGTCCTTTTTTTCATTAAAGATTTAAAACTGCTGTTTTCTAAATTTAGGCCAAAAGAATAAAAAGAGGACAAAACTCTATCCCTTCACGCACGGAAGTACTTTTCAAAGTCTTCCTCAACTGCTACCACTCTGATCTAATTTGTTAGAGCAGCTTAGCCCTCACCTACTTTTAAGAGTACAACTCTACGAAGTCATTGCTTTTGAACGTACATTCATTAAGAATGAGCATGACAACAGTTAAAGAAAGGATTCTGAGGGAGATTCTCCATAAATCAAAGCAGTAATTTCATCTTACTAGTCACGAGTCACACATCATCCTTGTTATTATATTGTGGTATTCCAGCCTTACCTCCCAAGAAAGTTCCTGGGCCTGCTTAAAAACATCCAAATCCTCTTCAGTAACGGTATCCTTGTTTCCAATCACATTTACATCTGTACTTTCTTGTTTGATGCTTATTTTGATTTCAGTATCTGTCATTTAAAACCAGCAGAGAGTGTATTCACTGATCTGTATCACCAGCAACCACCTTCTATTACCAAATGGTGCCAAATTAGCATAGTGGGCAAGTAGGGATCATCTTTTTTCAGCTTTATAAGCTTGTACATGTAAGCACTGCTCACAGATCCAGCAGTGCACTTTCCCTGCTGTACCCAAATTTTTATTTGGATTTATCACTGTCATCTTTTTATAGCTAAAATAAATATATGTGGGAAAGTACAAACAAAACAAAGCGAAAACGTATTTATCCAAGATCAGCAGTTATATTAATGTCTAATCATCAAATTCCCATTATCAGCTTTGAGATAATTAAAATCTATCACTTTGTCAAAAAGACAGTTTTGTTTTTTGTTTCAAAAGGTAGCAAATGTAACTGGGCCAATTTGTTAAATGAAATCATGAAACCGTTTTCTACCTAAGGTGGATACACACACAAACACACTCACACCCCAAAACACACTTCACAGAATCACAGATCAGGTTTTGCTGAGACTGAAGCAGGATGAACTTTGTCATGAGAAAGCAATGGAGCAGAGGACATGAAGCGCTGAATACCCCGCTGGAAGCACTGACAGCACACGACCGTACAGCACCATGGCTGAGGAGGTGGCATGGGAAAGAACATGGCAGAAGCATGACAGTGGCTACTCATGCGGGACTACAAAGCCATAAGCAACACTATGAAGGGCATCTGAGGGTCCTAGTGTCACTATGAATGGAAATAAATAATAAAAGGTGGGAGAGTATTAGTTGGAAAAACATTTTGGAGGTTTAGTCAGCATTAGAAAAAGGTCAAAGTTTCACTGCTTCTGTATGAAAGTGAAGTGAGAACAAGAGAAATAGCTAAGACCTATGTGACAAATAGGAACTGATTTATATATTTTTCCAGGGTTGGGGAGAAAGGGACGGGACGCAGGTTTGGTTGGAGCTTTGACCTTTTGCTTACCATCATCCTGATCAGGTTTAATCCTTCCGTCTGCCAAGCTCCCCTTCCCTGGTGAGGGGGTCCCCATCTGAGGGGTCACTTTATATTTTAATCTGCCTAGCATCCTGTGCTTTTTAAGGAAAGTTGTTCGCTTGAAGTGAGCAATTGCTTTAAAAATACGTCCTCTAGCCATCCCCCAGCTAGAGGAGGAGGAGTGAGAAATAAACCTACTTCTAATATCTCTTTTTCCAAAGAAATGGGCTTTAGATTTTGCTGTGGAAGATAATTCAGTTTTACGACGCATACGTTTGGGTGGTGCATAAGTTGGGTGTCCCTTTTTTCGAGACTGTCCCTGAGTGGTATAGATATGAGAAAGTCCGTCAAAGAGTGCCTTCAGCTGGCTGTTATTAGTAAGACTGCTAAAGGAGGGCACACTGGACTGGCTGGAAGAACTCTGGGGAGAGGTAGAAGAAGTGGAAGTGCTGGACTTTTGTGAACTGGGGCTCTGACCAGAGATGGGGGTTGGGGGTGGAAGTGAAGAAGGTGGAGGTTTTAGCTTTTGTGTGGTACCTGTAGCCAACACATGAGAAGTGCATGACTGTTTCTGAGAGACCTTTTTCCTTGGACGATAGTGCTTTGAAAAGTCTATTATTTCACCTCGTGATCTGCGACCATCAGGTGATGGTGTAAAAAACTTAGTAAGGCCATCAATGAGCCCTTTGGTTTTCTTGTTAACTTTAAGTGTAGAGGCAGAAATGTAGGTGGAGGTGGTGGTGATTTTGGTGGTGGCACCAGGCCGAGTGGGGTCTGTAACAGCCAATCTGCTGCTTGAGTCCTTCCCAGATGCAGCATGACCAGATGAAGGTGTGGTACAGACTTTAGTCTTTTGACCCCTACCAGGTGACCCCCTTCCTGTGAATGCATTCATGGATCCTTCATCACTGGTTACAGACCTAGGCAAAAATTTAGAGAATAGTATCAGCATTTAAGAGAATTATAAGGTATCTAAAAACAAGTTTAACTAGTTGCATTCAATGTGCTAAAATTAAGAGACTACATTGGAACCCTAAGAACTGCTTTTGTGTATAGGCCACTATGTAGGTGTTTCTTTTTTTTTTTTTTTTTTAAAAAAAAAAAGCTAGCAGGAAATGCATATGCATGCCATGATTCTCCCAGTACCCATACAACAGGTACCAGAAGAATTTATATGGACCCCAGGACTATGTAAATTAAAAAAAAAAAAAAAAAGACTGAAAGAACACTAGTGCTTTAAGTATTAGATTAAAATAAGTTACCTGAGTCTTTTTTTAAATTCCAAAAGAAGTAAGTCAAATGTGTTAACCAGAAGCAAAAGAATAAGTTTATCTAATCTCTACAGTTAAAAGCATTTTTTAATTCAATTTACATAGGCAGAATTTGGGTATGTCTATAAATTTGTACTTAAAGAGAGAGAGAGAGAGAGAGAAGGAGAAAAAAAATTAAAAATAACTCTCTCCCTCTCAGCAGTTTATGCTTAGGATGATAAGATATCCAATAATACTCTCTTAGGAGAGAAGACAATTAATTACAGCATAAAATACTGCTGAAAAAAGGACAACAATAGCAAATAACTGAAGTAATGATTAAAGAAAAGCTACAGCGGGTCAGACATGACATGGAAAGTCTGGTGAAGAAGCAGCACATTTACCATGGCCATTATCAGACACTTGGCATGGGAATCTATACAATGATTCTGATTGAGATTTCAGTCCATTTGATGCTTGGTTCTGGCCATACTACTGTGTGGTCAGAGAGCCTGGAGGTCATTTGACTGAAGCAGCTGAGTACATGAACAGCAGCAGCTGACTGCTTTCACTTCAGGATATGGTTTGGAAAGCTACCCACTTTGCAGTGGAATTTTATACAATAGAAACATTTGCATATGAATTATGGCAGTGCTGGGGCCCAAGAATGTACTTTTAAAATGATCAGTTTAGCTGAAGGTTTAATATTAAAGAAATGGGGATTGTGATGATGACAGGATATTGAATTATAAAAATATCTTAAGTATTAGAAATAGACTAGCAATTTTATAGGTCATCTTAAACACGAAGGAAGATTCAATGAAGAAATTTTAGCAGTCAGATAAACAGGGCAGACTGGTAGGCTCATCTGAAGCAGCTTAACTACCAGAAGCTGGCCCCTGTCTGAAGTCCCTGAGTCAGCCAAGTCAGGTTAACTCTGTAGACCTCTAATGTCACTAGAAGACACAGCAAGGGTTACCAATAAATACGGAGTTCTGGTAGCATCATGCCTAAGGCATCTGACTGCTAACCAGAAAGCTGGCAGTTCAAACCCACCAGCCACTCCTCGGAAGGAAGACAGGGCAATCTACTTCCGTAGTGATACTGCCTCGGAAACCCAAGGAGGAGTCACTATGAGTCAGGTTTGATTCGACGGCACATAACAACAACAGGTCAAAAATGTTTCACATCAGAATGATGCATTTGAATCGTATCTGGAATCTATTGCACAGAAAGGACAACATGCTTATAAAGCATGTAAAAAGGAAAACTCCCTAGACTGTCTTAAAAACTCCTAAGCTCAGAGGACAATTTTGGACAAACAAAAAGTTAGGATTGGTGCCAGATGCAATTTTCAGCTGTGTCCTTCGTTTAGAAAGTTTATAGCCTAATTTAGTTTTTTTTTTAATTGGGCCCTGAGGATATAGTCCCATTTTTGAGAACAATGCTTACACAGGATGAACGTAAAAACATTTAATTTTCATTTCAAATGATGCTAATATGGGAGATTTTATTCATAAATATGTTTCATGTTTGCCTCTAGAAATTAACAAAATTTCCATTTTAAAATGTCCACTAGTTAAAGAAGTATAAAGTTTCTTAGAAAACTCTAGAAAGGAGTCTGCTTTCTCTGTTTCCCTTTGGGAGATAAAGGTACAGGAAGACACCATTTTCTGAAGACAGGTTAATACAGTGAACTGCTTCAGGAGAAAAGAAGCAAGTGAGTAAGATTCTTTGTCATCGTCAATGTTGTACACACAGCACCTATCCATTCTTTCACCATAAAGACCTTTCCACTAACTCTAAGGGGATGGGTGAAGGGCTATTCACAGAACTGCTCCAGATATGCAAGGCTCCTGATTTCATGTTTAAACACCTTAACTTAACTTAACCTGTATACTCTGTACAGGTTAAGAATATACATTCATTTCACCCTTTTTCTCTACTGGGCTTCAATGACAACTATATGACAAAAGGAACACTGATGCACAATGTTAAAGTGCTTGGCTGCTAACCAAAAGTTAGTCAGTGGGGTTCCAACCCACCAGATGCTCCACAGGAGAAGGATGTAGCAGTCTACTTCCATAAAGATGATAGCTTTGGAAACCCTATGCAGCAATTCTACTCTGTCCTATAATGCTGCTGTGAGTCAGAACCAGCTCAATGGCAACAGGTTGGGTTGGGTTGGGTTTATATGGCAAAAGGATAGGGGAAACGTGGTTACACAGTATATCTGTGGGCCACTGCAAATCTATTATTTTGTATGTATGTCTGCACATGGATGTATGTGTCAGACGCTCCTGTCGAAATCTTTGAGGCAAACATCAGGACAGCTATGCAGGTTTCTCAGAAGCTCCTATTTCATAAAAGGGATCTTTAGAAAGTTGTAATACTAAATTAGCATCAGAAGAGAGAGGAATCTTTCTAAAATACAATTTGGAACTGCAAAAGAAATTCACTATAGATATAGACAAATCCCCACCTTGTTTTAAAATTCCTATGAAAATAATATAATAAAGCTCTTCTAATGCCCAAATAATTAATACAGTGGACTGAAAGACTGTTTCAGTCCTTACATTATGCTTCTATCCTGGTGCTGGAAATATGTCACTTAGTATCACAGCTACTGGCAACAGAAGACCCCAAAATGCCAACTGTAATTAAAAATGTTCTTTTAAAAAACTTGTCACAGCTTATGCAAAGGAGAAATACTCCTCATTCCTTGAGTTTGTACAAATGAGGCTAAAAAGATCTGACAAAATCTAAGGGGACTACAATCACTTATATATTAAAGCACAAGATAAAAAAAAATTATTTTGATAAGATCTCAACCTACAACAATCGTTGCTTTAATTTATTTTTCGGTCGTCCAATGGGTTTTGCATATCGCCGTTTTATTTGTGCAGCTTTCTCATGAAGTAGTTTTCTTCCCTTTTTCTTTGGTCTGCAGACTTGGCAAATCCACATCCCTGAATTAATATATATATGAGAAAAATATTTTAATGTTTCATTGTAGGAGAAGATATTAACTATAAACTGCAGCTTTAATAAGCTGTCTAAGGATGTTTGTATGTGGAACTTTACTCCAGAAAGTAGATCATTCCCTTTTCATTCTCCTCAGGAAGCCATCATTAAAAGGTCAAGGTGAGAGCAGAGGGCTAACCCTTACCTCAGAACCTATCTTCTCAGCTTATCTCTGAATTCCACCCTTTACATAAACATACATGAATGCTTCCCTCTGTCAGATACAGACTATTTTAATTTGGGGGAGGCATTTATAATTCAATACATTTCTGGGCCATCTAGGAAAAAAAATGTTTTATCATCTCTTTCTGGAAATTTTTAATACTAAAACAATTATCACTATAAAAAGTAATTTTAAAATTATAAGTATAAATTTAACAACTAATGAGCTATAATAATTAAAATTATATCTGGTATGGAGAAACAGGTCAACGGATAAGAATTTGGAAGTCCAGAACAACCTAAGCCTACAAAAAGTTTAGCATATCAAAGAGGTCATATTTAAAATCAGTGGGAAAAGGATGAAATGATTCAATAAGTGGTCACAGAACAAATAGCTACCCATTAGGAATAAAATTATTTCTTACCCTTTACAAAAATAAACTGTAGGCAGAAGGAATACTATTGTATGAAAAAATAAAATGTTAACGTACCAACCAAGAAAAATGTGGATATTTATATAATCTAAACATGACTACCATTAAAGACTGAAGCCATAAAGAAACAGACTCATGGATTTGACCACATAAAAATATAAAGAGCTTCTTCAAATCAGTAAGAAAAAGATGAAAACCACAATAGAAAAATTACCAATGGATAAAAACGGGCACTTCACAAAAGATGATATACAATCAGCCAATAATCATATGAAAAAATGTTCCATCTCACTACTCAAAGAAAAAATTATCAAAGATATCTTTTTTTCCATTATCATATTGGTAAAAATTTTAAAATATTAATGCTCTGGTAGCGTAGTGCCTAAGGCACTTGACTGTTAACCAGAAGGCCGGAGGATCAAACCCACTAGCCACTCCTCCTCGGAAGGAAGGAAGACTGGGCAATCTACTTCCATAGTGATACTACCTAGGAAACCAAGGAGGGGTCGCTATGAGTCGGGTCTGACTCGATGGCAAATAACAACAACAACAACAATTTCTTTGAATCAGAGACACAACTATAAGATACAGCTGATTGCAAAAATGCAAAAATAAATAAATAAATGGTGTCTTAGACTCAATGAAATATAGTAAATGGTGAGTGTTGGCCACGATGCAAGAAAACAGGTACTCCCATACACTAGTGCTTGGCATGAAAACTGATACAGCCTTTCATGTACACAGCCTTTGATCAAGCAATTTCTCTCCTAGGAATTTATCTTAAGGAAATAATTATGAATTGAAAACATTTGTAATGTCTACCATAGGGGACCAGTTAAATAAATTATGGCTCACTTACACATGGAGTTGCAAAATCAACTATCTTCAGGAACCACCCAGATGTAATATATATGACTAAAGCAAGCTGGGATGGAAGATAACACAGAGTAGTGAGATTGTGCCAAACTGCAGCAAGTATGCTCTACCTAAAGGACTCAAATTCAAATTCTAAAAAAATATTGGGCCAAAAAGTTCATCTGTGGCCAACAACCACATTTGTAACTCCTGCTCTATACTATGGATTTCTACATACTCAGTAAAAACTATGTTTAGGAGAACATTTAATGATGTGGGAATGTTATAATCTATTATTAAGAGGGGGAAAACAAGGTTAGAAAAACACATATAGAATGTTCCATTTCATTTTTAAAGGGTGTGGGGGGAGCAGAGAAAGAATTTACAAATTATTTTTCTTTTGGTTCCTTTTTGCCTAGCTGTCCTTTTTAAGTATCTTCTAAGTCAAAAATACCAACTGATGTCCAAGAAAAATATGATACAGCATTTCTTTCTTCTTCTTCTTCTTCTTTTTTTTTTTTTTTAAATTGTGATTTGGGTGAAACTTTACAGAGCAAATTGGTTTTCCATTCAACAATACATACACATTCTGTTTTGTGACATTTACTGCGATCCCCACAATGCAAAAGCATTCTTCCCTCTCCCTCCCTGCGCCCAACTCTTCCCTTCATTCTTCCTTCCCATCCCTTCCTGCCTTCCTTGCTCCATCTCTAGGCAAATGCTGTCCTCTTCATCTCATATGCTTGTTTGTTGTAATGAATGCATACGCTCCTTGATATTACTATTCACCTTATAGGTCTGTGCATCGCTTTGCTGCCATTTGAATCATGGCAATTAAATTCAGTTCCTAGATAGAGCACTTCTTGTTCTAGAGCTTATGGAGTCAGCATTACCACCATAACCAAAACTTCCTAATTTCATACCTCTGAACACTGTATTAAATAATATATAGAGAGCATTTAAAAATTTTAATCTACCTAATATAAACTTATTCTAATAGGGGAGTGGTTTGGGGAGAGAGAGGTGTGGTCTTTTATATCCATGTATCTCTGAATTAGAGTCTTTATTATACATATCACTTCCCAACATGTTCAGAGGCAGTGTCAAACCCTCGAGGATAGGGAAGGTAGCAGAAATGAAAAGGAACCTGAATACCTCTGAACTTTAGGAACTTAAGAAACCTGAATACCTCTGAACTTTAGCTACCTAAAGACATCAGGACAAGGCTAACAAGTATTTGTTAAAATGCATTTTTAATATGGTTTAGGAGTTCACCTTTTGGCATTCTGGAAAGTGGTGGGTCACAGCACTCCATATGGAATCCTCTATCACAAGAGTCACAAAAAAGCATATTATCCTGTAATATAATATATTAGAGACTGAGTGAGACTGAAACTAACTGTAAAAAGCCAAAAATTCTTATATTAACAATAAAAAAATATAATGAAGACACATCAAGATCCTTGCTGAGGTATAACATCACATGTATTTAAAACTTAAAAAAAGTGAATAATCCTCAACACTGCAAATTAACTATTTACCTAGAGATTGACTACTGAGAGACATACTTACTGCATTTTTGCCTTGGATTCTACATGCACTGCATGTCTTGCATTCGATACACTGCCACCTTAAGGCCTTTACATTTGTTGTTAATTCAGGACAAAATTTCAAACAGGATGGGTGTCCTATAAATAAAAAGCAAATTGCTTTATGGTAATGGTGACTTAGATTCTTAAAAGTTCCATTCTCTAATATTTAATAGAAAAGTTGATGCTGCTATTCAAAGAACTGTAGGAACTTGAAAATACAGAAACAGCTGAGAATCCAACCATAGACTTTCAGCCATTTTTCCCTAGAGGTAATAGAATAATTGCACAAATGGTTTCCGTAAGAGAAATATGTAAAATGTATACTGATTCCAATCTCAAGTCTTTGATAACTGGAAGATAGCTTATGTTCAGATCATGTTCTCACTCTTGTGCCAGTGACATCAACCACCATTTACCCAGAGTCTCCTGGTCTGCCAGTCTGTGGAGAAGTGCTGAAGTTCAAATGATTCTTGCTCTCTAGTCAGGATGAAATAAGAAAACTCAAAACAATAGTTAGCTAAATTTAAAAAAGAAGAAGAAGAAAGAAAATAGAATTGTTTAACATAACAATTACAAATGAAAAAAAAATTTGTATACAAAGAATATTACATTGTTGATCCATCTTGCCCCTGGTCTCTGAGTTATATTTTGGAAGAAGGAGCAGAAACAGTGAATCTGAAGGACAGTTGAGAAGTTAAAAGATCCAGGTCCAACAGAATTCCGCAAGCATTCCCTCAGCAGGTTTCCACTATTTCCCTGACTTTTCTGCTTTTCTACACTATTTTGGATACAACTTTCACCCAGGAGTTCTCCACACACAAAGCCTTTTCTTTTTAAACTGTGATTTGGGTGAAAGTTCACAGAGCACATTTATTTTCCATAAAGCAGTTCATACACATTTTGTTTCATGACATTGACTACAATCCCCATAATTTAACAGCACTCCTCCTACTTTCTCTGTGTAGTTCTCTCTTCACTATGTTCTTTTTTCCTATGCACCCTACCCCCTGAGCCTGTGTAAATACTGCCCTTCTGTTCTCCTATGATTGAATGCTAGATTTAAGGAGTGTATCTAACTGATGCAAATGTTCACTTTATATGCCTGTCTATTGTCTGTCTGGAAGCCACAGGAGTGAGTTCAGTTCCAGACCTAAAGAGTAACTAGGGGCCATAGTCTCAGAGGGTTCACTAGGCTCTATCAGACCAGTAAACCTGTTTTTTTTTTTTTTTTTTTAATGATTTTCTGTTCCACATTGTTCTCCCACTCTATCCAGGATCTCCTGCACTGATCCCTTTCGGAGTGGTTGACAGTGATAGCAGTGATAGCTGGGTACCATCTAGTTCTTCTTGTCTCATGGTCATATAGGCTGAGGATTTCATGGTCTATCAGTTCCTTGGACTAATTGTTTCCATACATCTTTGGTCTTCTTCATTCTTCTTTGCTCTGGACGAGGAGAGACCCATTGTTCCATTTGGGTGGACATTTATAAGCTTTTAAGACCCTAGTCACTACTCACCAAAGTAGGATGTAGAACAATGATTTTGTGTAGAATATTTTATCAATTGAGCTTCATGTCCCCTGTGACCATGGTCCCAAGCCCACAGGCCCAACTACTCACTCTCTCAGGGTGGCTGGTTGTGGACAAGAAGTTATTATAACTTTGCCCTTTGATAGCTCTATTATATATTTGGACATTCTTATAGCACATACAAATACGTACGTAGAAATATCATCTGCCAACTTATATATGGTCAGGGGTATATTCCCTTTTGCCTAGACATACCTGATCATTCAGCCTGTTTACTCATCTATTTACCCACAGATTAATGGGTAAATAGATGACAATGCAGTATTGTATATATAAAAAGGGTCTGTCCCTCTTGTGTACCTTTCTGTGTCTTCATATTCCTCATCCTCAGTGCCACCATGTTGATCACTCACTTTGGGTACAATGCCCTTCCCTTCATCCAAATGAATACTTGTCTCTACCTATCTAACAGTCTTCCCTCCCACCCCACCCCCCAGTAACCAACAAAGAAAGTTTCCTTCCACATATAAACCTTTCCCTGACTTTTTACAATAGTGAACTAATACAGTATTTGTCCTTCTGTGATTGACTTATTTCACTCAGCATAATGTCCTCCAAGTTCACCCATGCTATGCACACACACTAAGTCTTGCTGCTCGATTCAAAGAGGAAAACTGGAGACCTGAGAGGCACTGCCATTCAGAGAACCTAGTTGGGCTACACAGAGTAAGAGATTCCTCCAAAAGCTTTGGAGTGGTTGAGTCTAGACTCTTTGGAAGGCAGATCACGTTCTACTCTAATGGCTTTTAATCACATAAACCTGAGATCTCCAAACTGGATTTTATTTTTCTAAATCTGGTCTTTAAATAGTAAGAACATTAGCAAATCCCATGTGAAAGAACTTATAACCAAGCTGCAAAAGAAAGCTGAGGGGTAATAAAAAAGCAGATTCTGCAATTTCAAAACTGTTTTATAATTTCCTGACTTTGGCAGGCTCATTGTTTATATATGTATTTTGGGTTGCTGCCAAAAAGTCCCTCCTCCCTAAAGTTTAACAGGTGCTTCATAAAATTCCATCCACCAGGAGATTTGGCTTTTTGAAGTAAAAACATTCAAAATCAATCATCAATACCGTTAATAAAAGCATATTATTCCTGAGTTTTTTAAAAAAAAAAAATCCACTAAACTAAACACCTGTATTTAAGATGTTGAAAGAATAAAATGTTATCACAGGATTATGATCTCAGCCAGGAGAGACACCTAGGCAGATGCATTTAACCTAACACACCTTTTAAAAATTATTATTATTAAACAAACAAACAAGGATTTCACTCATTCAAATGAAGTATAGGGGTTGGGGAGATCAAATGCATAAAAACAGTATCAATCACTTCTGTCTGCTTAGGAACAGCAAACAAAGACAGCTTGCTCCTTGACTTTAAGAAGTATATTCTGAAGAGAGTCTGGAAAGGTCTACTTTGATCAGGTTGGATTTTTTTTTTTTTTTTGGCCCCTTATATAATGGGGGTGGAGAGAAGACTCAACTTTTAAAGAACAGCAATTTAAATTCCTCCCTTAAAATGGGTCCCATCAGTTTAAAAGTATAACATTTGCTTCTTTTCTTTCCCTTTTATTACTTCCTGTAAGTCATACATCACTGGCATGTGACCTCAACTCCATGCACTAAATTTTTCTCTATATTAAAATCTGCTTTTGTACTTTGTAGTTTAATATTCAGTAACAAAAGTAATTCACATTATATTACAACTTACTGTTTATTTTCACATATATCCTATGAAAGACAGAGCTTTTAATAATTACATATTTTGAAAACTAATGGATTTATTTCATCTACTTTCAATCAAGGGCAAGGAATATTCTTCCTCTTAATGCTTTCTCTCACTTTAAGCATCTCAACTACTACTATTTAAGTCACCTATTAAATTCTAAAATCTTCAGCCTATCTTTCCTATAGACAGCAATCTTACCTTTATTTAGCCCAAGAAAATTGGCCATAGATCCCTTGCAGCTCTAAATTTCTATGATTCTGTAAAGGATGCTGAAGGATGAAGAAACATTTCTTTTATTTTCTCACAGCCAACTTTAAAATAACATAAAAGACTGTAAATGAGTCTTGATTTACTATACAATCTATAATAATTAAAGGAAAAAAAATGCTACTGATAATGTAATTCCTTACCTTCCATTTAGCTGTTCCATAACACAACCAATCGTTCTAAAATTCTGTTTCTCTCTGCTGATGCAATTCATGGTGGCTTGTCTTTCTGAAGTTTGTTTTACTTTTGTGGTTTGCAATTTATCAGATCTGAGACCCATCGGGTACACTCATTCACATATTTATTCTTATTATAAATAAACACACCTACTCTTCCCTTATCTATATGCTTAGGTTCCAAAGACCAGATTATTATGCAAAATTGGTGTAATGCAAGGAGGAGGACATAAAGGCAGTGCCGGAGCCCAGGCTCTCAGAAATACTGTGCCCTAGGCACCACTGTGCTCTGGACCCAAAGGCCCTGCCATCAAGGGGATTGCTGCCTGTGCCCATGCTCTTCCATGCCCCTGCAGCTACCCTCTCCACAGTCTTAGCCCCCTGGTACCACCCCACAGGCCATGGAGAAACCACGGAAACAAGCAATGAGTTAATGGTCTTGGAGGGCTTAGAATCCAAGGCACAGAGCCTGAAGACTAATAGCTGCTCCAAAGAGGAGCTTACCAGCCTGGATCATGGAGGAGGAGGGGGCAGCTGGTTTCTGCCGTGGCCTCCAGACCCCAAATTACCCTAGTATTCTTGTTGCAGGACTTGGTCCTTCCAGGGCACCTGAGTAGAGGAGAGCTGCAGTAGCAACCTCCCCCACCTCCTGGGCCCCTTCAGCCACTCACCGGCCCTTCTTAGATGGGCTCCCTCAAAATCTGCCTCAGTTGCCTCTTTCACATGAAGAGCTGCAAAAGTGGCTCCAACAGTGGGAATGGGACTGGCAAAAGGCCTTTTGGAGGAAGAACTGTTTCAGCTGTAAGCCGGGCATATATGGATGGCTCTGCAGGCCAGGGGCTGGGCTCTAGGAAGAAACCCAATTAACATGCAAATAGTTGGATTATTTTACTATTATCTTAATGTGAAATGTTGGATAATGAGATAGTTTATAAGTGAGGAGTAAGTGTGTCACTATGCATGTACCTTATGTCCATTTTATCTATCAAAACCAAAGGAATACTGTTTAAAATTATTAAGTACCAACGGGACCACAAACAAGTAGAAATGTTTTTTGGCAGAAGTACTGAAGAAGAAAAAAGCATGGGCTCTCTGGCAGGCTGAATAATGACCCCAAAGATGCTCAAACCCTAATCCCCATAACTTGTAAATATATTACTTTATATGGCAAAAGAGATTTTGTAGATGTGACCAAGGGTACAGACTGACTTTGAGATAGGGAGATTATCTTGGATTATCTGGGTAAACTCAGTTTAATCATGTGAGTCCTTTAAAGTAGAAAACCTTTTCTGGCAGGATTAGAAAAGAGAAAGAAGGAGGAGGAAAGGTTCAAA